TGAATATATCTTTATACTCAAACTCAGCTGTGTGGAAAAGAATGTTAATAAACTAGGACTGAAGCCCCGAATCTTTTACACCTTCATTCCATGCGCACTATATATCCCGCTTGTATGTGCTGTTCAGATGAAGATAACCTGGCAGGATACTCTGAAGACCAATTTTTATTCCCTTGGTTTACAATTTATCGACACCCTGTGTGACGAGCACAGCGACTTTGTACCGTTGCTACAAAGCTTTGTTTAAATGATAAAACATCTGAGAGCACGAACTCAGACACGTAAATGCTGCGCGCCAGCGAGTGGTTGCGCCCTCTGGAGGCTGTATTGAAAACTCTTTCAGCTTTTTCGCCTCGTTCACTACACTAGGAAAACCTTTCTAGCCACTATCACTTAATGCCCATCATTTCGCTGTATAAAGCTTCCGTCTACACAGTCTCTTTCAAAAGATAAAAGCAAATATGTTAGACCATCCACCTTCTATGAAACCGAAACTTAAGTGCCTGTTTTGTGTGAGCCATAAAATTAGACTGATATGTAGTATTTTGTAGGTAATTTAGCAATTATCAAGTGCAGACATGCATAATGCTTGAAAGCATCGTCAGCACGTCATTTTCAATTATAAAAGTCAAAGTTCTCACTAGGTGAACTTGTATAGTGGTACTTGTTTTGTTCACACTGATGGGCCCGTATGTGAGCCTGTAAATCATCAAATTTCCTTTTTTTTTTCGATGTATGGCACAGCCGCAATGCAAAAGCTCCCTGCCATGGCACCAAAACAAGTTAGAAAAAAAAATTGGCAGATCCTACGTACAGTGGTAATCGATGACATGCAACGCACAAATGCAATATGTTATGTCATTTTAGAATCAGCACAACGTTACGAGGTGAAGGTAAATAATGCCGTACATGACTTCCATGTCATGATTATCATGTTTGGATGTGTCGTTCACCTTCGTCTATTTACGTGACGTGATACCAAATTTAGTATATGTGGAGCTAGCGAAACGGCCGCGAGCACGCTATGAGCGTGGTATGTTGTCAGGTTCTTACATGATACGCGTGTCAGGATTATCATGTTTGCACCAGTCATATATTTCGTCATCCATTGGCGTCACGTAACACCAAATTTGGTATATATTTGGTATATGTAGAGCTAGCAGAACGGCTGTGAGCGCACCATGAAGGGCCCAATATACTCCAATATAGCGTTGACGCGCGCACACCCTGGGCACAGCGACGCTACGTTTGCGAAACGCGAGCAGTTATAGTCCAACGCCAGGCACGATCAGCGTCCGTCGGCGCGGCCCGACGGCAACCTGCGCGAAATGCAACATGCCGCGTTTTGCACTGATGCGTTACCCGGACAACACTGCGTCTCCTTCTTTTCATGACGCAGGGACGCCGGACAGGCTGAAACGCGCATGCATCGAAGCAACGAAGCGCGGCGTGCGCCTGCGAGTATATATGGCAAGACCAGTGCCTGGTGTGAGGCGACAAAATGAACGCCGGTGAGCATGCGCACCGCGTCACGTCGAAATGTATTGGCGTCTTGGAGGTGGCATGTAGTCATGTTCTCACATGACACGCATCTCCTGATCATCATGTTTGCACCAGTCACATACCTTCATCGTCCATTGCAGTCACGTCTACTAGGCAACTAGGCAGAGGCCGAGTTTGGTACACGTGAAGCTAGCGAAACGGCCACGAGCGCATCATGAGCGTAGCATGCAGTCATGCTGTTACATGACATATATCTCATGTTTATCGTGTTTGCACCGGTATCATACCACCGTCATCCATTCGCGTCCCCGTAATACCAAATTTAGTATAATTGAAACTAGCGAAACGGCCGCCAGCGCATCATGAGCATGACATGTAGTCATGTTTTAACATGACACGCATCTCCTGATTATCATGTTTGCACCAGTCACATACCTTCGACATCCATTCACGTATATGTGATGCTAGCGAAACGGCCGCGAGCGTATCAAGAGCGTGGAATGTAGTTATGTTGTTGCATGACACGCATGTCATAATTTTTATGTTAGGGTCTGTCGCTTGTGTTTGTCATGCAATCATGTCATACCATACCAGTTTTGCAACATGCCTTGTGAACGAAACCACCACAAGAGCTGCAGGACAATGAAATGTAACTCATGACATACATGTCATGATTTTCATGTTAGGACTAGTCAAATACGTTCTTCATACAGTCATGTTATGCCATACCAAGTTTGGTATCGATACCATTATCGAAACGGCCAGGAGAGCTAAAAGTCATATGCGGCTAGATAGATGGATAGACAGAAACGCTCAAAGGCGCCGAAGTTCGCTAAGAAATGCTTCGAATTTAAAAAGTTCAGGCTTGCCGCTTCAGAAAAGGCACACAGTAGTAAGGTCCACAATAAAACAGACTATAGCCCAATATATATCCGACGAATATATGCAAGGATTGCTATATTGAGGTTGCCACATTAAATCACATGCTCTGGGACTGCGCCACATATCCGCAAGGTTTTAAACCCCGAACCCTTCTGCTGCGGTTGGCCGCTTCCCTGTGCAGCCCCAGCCTCGGTGACAAACTCTGGGCCGTCCAGCAGGCCCGCAAGGTGGCGGTCAGGCAAGGTCTTGACATCACCACGCGGGATACCTAAGGCCCAGTCGGCGAAAGCTCTGCCGGACTTTCAATAATAAAGTAGTTACCAACCAACCATTCTCATTCGTTTCAGTTCATTGCACTGGCCAATACATTATGCCCCTGCAAAAAAAAATCAATTTTTTTCAGTGAGTAGAACTTGAGTTAGGAGCACTTGTTCAAGGCATACCTTTAAAGGGCCAGTCAACTGGCTTCGACTTTTTTTTTACACCCCCCAAACAAGCTCAGCAAATCGTAGAGTAGACTGCAGCGATCACGCTTTCTGAATATTACAGAGCTGCGCGCCAGGCAGAGCCTTTATTTCGAAAAACCATTTCCGCGCTCCTTTTTTACGCCTGACCACCTTGCACTCCTTGCTCGCGCAGTGACGCCAACTCGATGTGACGCAGCTCGTCGATTGGTCTAAACCAGGTCTCAACAAACAGTAGTGAAGTGAACCAGAGTTCATGTTCCCACCCACAGCTACGACAGAGCTATTCAATCATATGAGTTGCGAAGCTCCCCACATGCTTTATGTATCGAAATCTAGACACGTCACTCACAGTTTTGCTGCAAATTGTTGTTGGCTGCAAATCTAGCGACTGGGCTGCGGAGAAGCATCGGCACCGGGTAAACTGTAAACAACCAGGCATCACAGAAAGCGGAAGCGCGTTGCGACTGCTCGAGTATGTGGATGACGTCAATTGCTGACATCTTCTTATGTTGCCGAAGTCACGACGACGGGCTGCACCTTTCCCTCCCTCTGAAGAAGAAGGGTGGCTCCGGTTGCTAGGGGCACGCATGCCCACAGCTGTTGCTATGGGGGAGGGCGGTGGACGGATCCCGAGGAACGCATGACATAGCCCGACTAAGAATTTAAAAGTGTTTCCGTCACTTGACTTCATACTTTAGTTTAGCATTTAAATGCGTGCATTTTGTATTTCGAATTACAGATATATCAACATATTTCGCAATCCCCTTCGAGTTCTATATACAGTAAAAGCTCGTTAATTCGGATTTCACGGGACCGGAAAAACTGTTCGAATTAACCGAATGCCGAATTAACGAATGAACAGGGAAAACAACATTTAAAATCAAGCTGCAGAAGCATACCTTTATTTGTTGAAGTATTTTGTAATTGTCGTCTCCGTTTTCGCGCAGATTCCGGCTGACATCACAATTTTTCTTAACAGTTCCAAACGGCCAACAGCACGCAAGCTGTCGGGAGTGTTCAGGCAAGCATCCTCTAATATTAACAGCGCCTCCGAGACTTCCCGTGAGGTGCAATGAGGTCACGGCTGTATCTCCTCGCATGATTCTTCGTCGGAATCGTGGTCTTCATGGGCGCCCGTGACATTATTAATAACCTCTTGATCAGTCAAAAGACCACTCGTGGCGACACCATGATCAATCGCGATGTAGTCCTGAAAGGTCACATCTGTGGGAAGGACAGCATCGAAAGTCGGGCAGTCATCGTCGGTGGACTCGGTCGGTGGACTCTACCGCTTTTTCGGCGTTGCCATCACTGTAGCGCACGATGATGGTGGCATGCAAATACGGTCACAATAGAAGAAAAAGAGAACTCCGCAAGAAGAGATGGTTCCGACACGACAACACAAAGGAAAATGGCGTCCGAGACGCTGAGCGGAGAAGAAAGAAGACGCCGACGTTCAGTGACGCTGCGATCGCCCCCACTAGTTGATGATGATGGCGATGCCACTCAGGTTTCAGTTTCACTCCAGTGGTGCCAGCGCTGCTTTATCACACTTTTGTGTAGCAGCAGCCGTCAGCATTTGTCCGAATTAAGCGGTGCAGAGCCGAATTCCGACGAAATAACGAAGGTTTGGTCCCATAGATTAACATGCACTTTGGCCGGGACCAATAGAGCCGTCCGAATTCTCCGAATTTCCGAATTAGCGGGTGTCGAATTAACGAGCTTTTACTGTATCAGGAATCGGCAGTAGTGATTTGAGCATTTCCTCTGGCAGTGCTGTAGAGCGCGGAAGAACATAGGGTTCGGAGCGTCCACTGAAAAAATTCATTTTTTTGCTTTCCCTTTCTATCTGCGAGTGAATTTCTTTACATATTGCCCTTCATTTTTCTGCGTTGCATATTTTCTTGTTGACTGCGAGTCTGCAGTGATTGCCTGTTTTGGTACCATAGGTTTTTGTTCGTACGCATATGTGTCTCAGTTTGTCAGCATTAAAGTTACTACGGAATGTCTTGATGCACCATAGATTAAGGCAGTCTTTGTTTTTAGCACTGCTGTCTCTTCTTTGTACAGATCACGGCTCACAAACTCCCCCCCTCCCCTGAGTGAAGGCCAAGGCCTTCAAGGTACAGAGCAGGCAATCACACTTACGGTTTGACAGCTTCGGAACTGGAGGACTCCTGCTTGGGGTAACGCTGGGCATAGAATTCGTCGACCGTCATGCTGGGAATACTTGGGTAGCCGACGCCATACACCTGCTTCTGGATCTTGTTTCGCGTGATGATGATGGGCCGCAGTGGCTGCAAGCAGAGATTCATTCCCTCACAGTGACACAATGCCCGAGGGTGAACGTCACACGCTTGTATGCGACCTCTTCGCTTGTAATGTAATTATCTACTACCACACCACAGCCACTGCTGCTCTGTACACCGCTATACAACTCAGCACAAGGCTAAAGGGATGACAATGGCACCTGCTGAAGCCACAAGTGCCACTCGTGGCATAAAGTTATGCATATCTAATGAGCATGTTGCAATATAGGTGAGATGCGTTTCAATTGGATGCTACAAGAATGTTCACTTCCCACCCTTTGTTAAGCAGGCCCTCCAACACCGTTCTATACTCGGCGATCACTTTTCTTGACAGCACTGTGGAAGCCACGGAACCTAAGTGAATGCCTGCTATCACACCCAAAAATAGTACTAATTTCTTACTGACTGTGCTGAAATAAATGCTGCTCTATTATTCATGAAACTCAAACAGTTGCAGGAAGTTATAGGTGAAATACAGTTATTTTTATCTCTGATAGAATGCCTTTCTTTCCCATTCCCTAAACAGCACCAGTGTTGCGGAACAGGCACTTCCATTCCATTCCAATTCCTTTTTGGGGAATTGAAACTTGCCGTAAATCCATTCTTTTCAATTCCCCGAAATGAAAAATTCCATTCATATTATTCCTCAACGTAGGAAAGGCATATCTTGATAGCTTCAAGCTAATAATGACTGTGTAGAGAGGAAGAAGATTATGTGCCGCAGTGAGTCACGCCTTTAGCAAGAGGAGCCAAGTGCGAGCTGTTCCCCCGAGCGTTGTGTTTCCTGCGTTGGTTGCTGCCGCCCGTTTTCCGCATCAGTAGACCTGCTGTGCAAGTACTACTTACGCCAATAAACGCCGTTTCAGAGTGGTGGACGTGCGGGGTAACTCAACCTGGAACTCCGCAGCAGGAAACTACCAGCCATCCCAGACATGGCTGAAGAAAACACCCAGCAAGGTACGACCCAGCCTCCGATGGTCATCATGCCCACTGCGCTACTCGTGCGCGATCCACCTTTTTTCGACGGTACTGATGAGCAAGACGTAGAAGATTGGCTGTCGACATTTGAAAAGGTAGGCGCAAGCAACAAGTGGGACGACACATCAAAGCTGCAATATGTACCCTTCTATCTGAAAGAGGTAGCGAGTCTCTGGTTTAACAACCACCACTCGGAATTCGCCACTTGGGGTGCCCTTAAGCTACGCATTACCGATGTGTTCGGTCGCCCCGAGGTACGCAAGCTTCGCGCCGAACAGCGCCTACGGGGACGCGCACAGCTTCAGGGGGAAGGCTTCACAAGCTACATCGAGGATGTGCTCGACTTGTGCAAGCGCCTTGACCGTTCCATGATCGAAGCAGACAAGATCAAACACATCTTGAAAGGGATAGACGACGACGCCTTCCAGATGCTGCTGGCCAAGGGCCCACGTACCGTGGCCGAACTGCCACTCTTTGCCAGAGCTTCGAGGAGTTGCGCAAACAACGGGTCATGACACGGCGGCCAGCGGCTACCGATGAAATTCTCGCGGCATTGAGCCTGGGTGGAGACCACAGCACAATCATGTCTGAAATCAAACGATATGTGCGCGAGGAGGCGGCCCGACAACTTTCGTGCCTGTCGTATCTGCCTGCAACGGAACCCTCTTCTGAGCGTCTCGCGCCCGCCATCAGGCAGGTAATACAGGTGCAGGTCTCTGAGGCAATGCCGTCCGTCTCTTAGACAGCACCCGTCACCGCGCCATTGACTTATGCTGCTGTTGCTGCTACTCAGCCACGACCTCCGCTTGTTCCGACTCGCCAGCCTGTACGAGCATCAATGACGCCATTTCCAGCAACACAACAGCGCTATAACGGAAACCCTTGGCGCACAGTTGACAATCGCCCGATCTGTTACTCATGCGGATATCCAGGTCACGTGGCGCACTTCTGTCGCCGGCGCTTTGCAACGGGCCCGGCAGCACCTCTGAGGTACCCTGACTACTCTTTACCGGCCCCGTACAACGCGCAACGAGAACTGCCACGTCAATGCGACCGACAATCAGTGGAACGCGACCCGTCACCAACCGAACTAGACCACCGCCCTGCTGCCGACTACCGACCATTCGGTCCCCGTCGCTCATCCTCACCACGCCGCTACCGTTCTCCGTCCCCTCTGCAGCGCCGACCAAACCCTGTAGAGACGGAAAACTGACTGCTGCAGCACCGGAGGCACGAGCTGCGAAATCGTCGTATTGTACAAGTCCTCGCCCGTCCCCCACAAACGTTCTGGAAGTGTTTGTTGAAGGTCTACGAACTCTTGCGCTTGTTGATACGGGTGCCGCCGTATCTGTGATGAGTCAGAAACTCTGCCGTTCGATACGAAAAGTAATGACGCCGCCTTCCGACGTTTTGCTGAATACCGCGAGTGCGCAACCAATTCGACCAGTCGGAGCATGTACGGCGAGAGTAATCATTCAGGACGTCCTGTACCACATCGAGTTTCTTGTGTTGATCACTTGTTCCCACGACGTGATACTTGGATGGGATTTTTTGTCACGCCACCACGCCGTAATTGACTGCGCTCGCGCGCAGGTGGAATTTTCTGTGTTTTCAGATGCGCCATCTATTGACAATGAGCATACTCACCTTGGCAAGCTTCTTGTTGCTTCCGACGTTGATGTTCCTCCTCTTAGTGCCATCGTTGTCCCCGTCAATCGCACTGAATTGTCCGGCTCTACCGTGGTGTTCTCCCCATCTGACGTTTTCAGTCGCCGCCACGGTACGTCTTTGCCATACGCCGTTCTGCCACCTCACCAAGATACTTCCGGAATTGTCGTTTGCAATCCTAGCTCATGCCCTCTCACCTTAAGAGCTCACGAAACACTGGGCTATGTTCATCCTGTTGATGACAACGTTATTGTGCCTATTGAGTCCCACGACCCTGGCCAGCAACTTCAACTGAACGCCGTTACTCCTCTTTTTACGCGGGATGACTACTCCTCGGATACCTTCAATCGTTCCATCAACAGCAAGCTTCCTCCGGATCAACGGGACCAGCTAATAACCCTTCTGCATGAATTCCGAGATTCATTTGACCTCCCTCAAAAGGCACTGAGTCAAACTAACACCGTCGCTCACACAATCTACATTGGAACGCACCCTCCTTTGCGGCAACGCCCTTACCGCGTATCACCCAAGGAACGAAGTGTAATTGCAGAGCAGGTGGATGATATGCTTCAGCGCGGTGTCATCAAAGCATCTTTTAGCCCCTGGTCTTCACCTGTTGTGCTAGTGAAGAAAAAAGACGGTTCGATTAGATTTTGTGTCGACTACCGGCGACTGAACAAAATTACAAGGAAAGATGTATACCCTCTTCCCCGCATCGACGTCGCTATCGACTGCCTACAAGGTGCCGAATTCTTTTCTTCGCTGGACTTACGTTCAGGTTACTGGCAGGTTCCGATGGCAGAGTGTGACCGTCCCAAAACAGCGTTCGTTACGCCGGATGGCCTATACGAATTCATGGTTATGCCATTTGGTCTGTGCAATGCACCTGAAACGTTTGAGCGAATGATGGACAGCATTTTACGCGGCCTTAAATGGCAGATATGCTTATGTTACCTCGATGATGTTATCGTATTTTCTCCCGATTTCTCTACCCACGTCGACCGTCTGCGCACCATTCTTCAGTGTCTTACCAAGGCAAACCTCAAGCTTAACCTAAAGAACTTCCGCTTTGGGGCTCGCCAACTTACTATACTTGGTCACGTTGTGTCAAAGGATGGAATTAGCCCCGACCCAGACAAACTTCGAGCCGCAGCCGACTTTCCGAAGCCGACTTCACTCAAAGAACTTAGGAGCTTCATCGGCTTGTGCTCGTATTTTCGTCGTTTCATCCACAATTTTGCAACAATAATAGCCCCACTTACACAACTACTGAACGGTTCAGCTAATCTTTCTAACTGGACACCGGCATGCGATGAAGCTTTCCTTACACTGCGCCGCCTACTTACGTCCCCACCGATTCTACGCCATTACGACCCAAGTGCCCCCACTGAAGTGCACACAGATGCCAGTGGCATTGGTCTGGGAGCCGTACTCGCGCAACGAAAGCCAGGTATTCCAGAGTACGTCGTCGCATATGCAAGCCGCGCACTCACGAAAGCGGGAATGAACTACTCCGTAACTGAAAAAGAATGCCTCGCAATCGTTTGGGCGTTAAGCAAGTTTCGTCCTTACTTGGATGGACAGAGTTTCGACGTTGTGACAGAACACCACGCACTTTGTTGGTTGGCGTCGCTAAAAAATCCTTCAGGTCGCCTTCGACGTTGGGCTCTTCGCCTACAAGAATTCGACATTCGTGTCGTCTACCGCTCAGAACGAAAACACTCTGATGCGGACGCCCTCTCACGATCACCAGTGAGATCTACCGCAGACCTGCATTCGGACACCAACTTCTCCATCGCTCCCATTCCCGTCTCAAGCATGTCGTCTGAACAGCGGAAAGACCCATGGATAACATCTCTCCTTAACATTCTTTCGGACTCTTCAACGTCTGCATACCCACGCGCTCTTCGCCACCAAGCCACACATTTCGCGATACGGGATGCGTAACTATACCGCAGAAACTACCACGCGGATGGTCGTAAATGGCTCTTGGTTATACCACGCCACATGCGATCTAATGTCTGTGCGTATTTTCATGCCGACCCACAACATGCTCACGCTGGTGTGTTAAAAACATATCAGCGGATCCGCCAGCGTTACTACTGACGTGGTATGTACACTTTTGTACGAAAATACATTCGGTCTTGTTTATTATGCCGACGACGAAAGACAGCGGCCCATTCACCCGGATTATTAGAGCCTCTACCGTGTTCGGCGCGCCCTTTCGACCGCGTTGGTATCGATCTATATGGTCCTCTTCCTTACACTGCCACTGGAAATCGATGGATTATTGTCGCCGTCGACCATTTGACGAGGTATGCTGAAACAGCTCCACTACCTAC